TTGGATTGAGGACCATTAGAGGTCGAAATTTGCGAACTGAAGGTCATATCAAATTGTAATATTTTTTCTCTATTTTCAATTACAATTTTAAAATTTGCAATAGCACTTGACCCTTGAGATAATTAAATGGATAGCCAGAAAAAAATCCTGTAACTTTTGTATTAAACATTTTTCCGAAAAATGCATAATTCTGCTGTGCCGGTAAGTACTTTTCGGTATATTTGTCTTTCTAAATGGCCAAAATACATTTTTTTCTTATGATATGTATCTTTAAATAGTATAAAATAAAGTCGCTTTTTTTGTGATTGCTTGGATCTTTTAAACTAAGCAACGAATTACACCAATAGCGAGAGAGTGATTAAAGAGGAAGTTCATATGTATAATACGTGCATATGATGGTAGAGAAAATCCGAGAATTTCAAAGATTTGTCGTACAAAACATATTTTTTTTGTGCGATGAAATTCAAAACTTGGGCTAAACCATATCAGATGGACAAAAATAATGTAATATATATATATATATCTCTTTTAAAGATCTAAAAAGTCTGCGATGGTATATATCTATCTCCTAAAGATAACCCATAGTAACCATTTTTATCTTTTAAATATTACAAAAAAAAGATCGATTATTTACGAAGCTTTTTTAAACAATACACTATTATTCCTTATCCAATTAAATACGTTAGATACGTTGTGAATTTAATGTAGACTAAAAATGTTTTTTGCAACATATCATTAAAATGAATATTTTAGAAGATATTAGAGATTTAAAATACGGGGGCCCAGCGACCGTCGACCCGTATTAGTGATGTGCCGGATCGTTAACAACCTATATCCGCGGATACGGATATTTGGTGTCAAGATCCGCGGATATGGATACGGATACGGATCTTAAGTTTCTTACTCTATCGGAGCGCGTGACCTTGATAGTTGTCGCCACTTGACGCTTTGCCGTTGATATTTAAATATTTCATTATTTTAATAAGCTAATACAAAGATGTTTGATTGATCTCATTATAAAGATAGCTCTTTCAGTACCTATGACCTGCCTAGTTGATTTAGTGTAGTACGATAAATGATTGGAATACAAAGGTGCCAAATATTTGTTTTAATAAATAAAAAGTAATCTGAACAGAATTCAATAGTTTTTCATAGCTACCTAATAACCATTATTCAGGGTTATTTTAAATTTACTGAAAACCTCTGAAGTGCATATTAGTAACATTATAAACAACAACTTTTCTTCTGGACTAACACCGAAAACGAAAGAAAAAAAATTGTTTCTCCTTACAAACAAACAACATTTGAATGGAGGACCAATTTTTTTTTCATTTTGACGTTGGCCAGAAAACAGTTGCTGTTTATAGTGTTACAAACACATACCTAAGAGTTTTACAGTGAATACAAAATCACCCATATAGAATTTCATCTATGTATTGAAAGATTCGCCAAAAAAGTCACGGATACGGATCTCTTTTCTCCCTTGGATATCCGCGGATACGGATACGGATATCCGGCACATCACTAACCCGTATGTCCGTCCCGGGTGGCAGGATCGGAGCGGGCCTATAAATATTGCATTTAAAGATGTCCTGTAGTATTATTAATAGTCCTATCATAATAATAGTGTAAGTAATTAAACTCCACACTGAGACCACATTAGTAGTATTTACATTGCACCCGTGCGAAGCCGGGACGGATCGCTACTTTGTAATAAAACAAAAACGTTAGCGCGTCAAAAAAAGAGGGCGGGGCATGTCGGACATTACAGACAGGATACGTGGATTAGGTATATTGGGGTTATACTTCCTCCCGCAACAACCAATCGCCGAGAATTAGCATTGCCAGAGCCACCAACCTATTTTATGCAATTGCGTTTTAACACAATGCATGCACCACATGTGGGCCACTATGAAGACATCATCACACGTGCGTGCACCACAAATGGGCCGCGAGTTTTTTTTTTTAGATCTATTTTTCTTTTCGATCTATTCCCATCAAGTCCTTTAAACTTAGTGTAAATTTTAGAGGATGACAATTATACTGCCAAACACGATAACTAGGTACTTTAAAAATAATCGTGGTGGGTCAGTGCCCGCGTTATGACCAGACTGTTTCGTAATTAGTGTGGTCACTTATAGGGGATAATGAAAAACTTTTGTCAGCAATTTATACATATATATTTTATTAACAATAATGTTACAATCGACATGCCACCTTAATCTCAATAGAAACAAGATATATTTATTATACAGCGTGATACTAAACCAAACAATTATAATATAACACAATATTTTTAATAACTTTAACTTCACTTAATTTACATAAATATATTGGTTAAAATCTACATTCCATATGGACAGCATAATTGGTGTAACGGACCCCTTTCACATTCGAGGTGTTATGGAATGGATTTAAGGTACAAAAATTACGCTCTCAGCCGAGATGCAATAGGACAACAGCGCTGCCAAAGATTACAAGCATGAAGCAGGTGCCATACAGATTCATTTCCATGCATTATCCTGCCCTTTTCTTTACCTAATATGATGAATATAATGCACACAAGACGAGTCAATATAATTTGCTAAAGTAACTCTTCTTGTTAATCCTCTAAACTAAAACATTTTTACATACATCATTGACCTTCATCTACATGCTGTTTTCAAAAATATAGTATGTGCAATACATTTATTAATTACCTTTTACGTTCTTTTATTGTGTTTATTCTCTGATAAGGCTAAATTAGAAGTAATCTAAGTATTTCATGGCTATCTAAAATCAATGGTTGATTCCATAATAGTTTCCTTATATGGTGATACAGGTTCAATTGTCACCAACTAGCCGCTTGACAGATTCAATTGAAATAAATTGATGTAGATACAATATATAGTCATACATTGTTTAACAATGCATTGATATGTATAAAATAATGGAGAGATGTAAATAATGGAGACTCAACCATTTCCTGAATTGCTTCAAAATGTTCTATTACAACAACTCATTCACTCACTCAAGATTTCAAAAAGTTGATTAATGTTTTTTTTTTTCATTTACGTAGCTTGCAAGCTTTTGTAAAATTAAAAAACGTTACTTAATAGTTTCAACAGTGTGTATTAGCATCAATCACTCTTAAAATTTTTGCTGTTGACTGAACTTTAAACAAATTTCTTTACCTAACTGCTGACATTTATGATTGATTTACTAAATTTATATAAGCAATTCATAAAAGTATATTAATCCAAAAAATATAAAATTTGATTTTATTCTGTAACCTTTACCTGAATAGTACAAGCCGTGTAAATTATTTTAACAAATATTTCTGCGATCCACATACTAGTATGAAATATGGTCATAATCTAAAAGTTTGAGTATTTGATGTAGTTAGCTGGCTTTCATCAGTTACACCACCTATCACACATGTTGCTATGCTAAGCTTAAACTGAGTTTTCTACTTTTGTATGTGATACTGTTTAACTAACTGTCAAGCATATGCTACACAGATAAAAAAAAAATAATAGAATAAGTAAAATGAAAATAATATAATATTAAATCAGACTTGAGTTACCAAAATTACTGCGATAAGAAGAATGATTACCATAATCATTTGCATAACTACCATTACCTTTATTAAAATTGTTAAATTGACATGAGAATAGTACTTAGGGAAATAAAAATTAATGTTGAAATATGTTCATTTATGCAAAATATGTTAAATTTCTTTAGAAGCATGCTTCTGTAATTTACAGTAAGTTTTTATTTAAGTAAAAATATTTAAAGCAAACAGTATACTACTTATTCAATAACCCATAAACCAGAAATTAGAAGCAGATCTCAATGGTAAAATTAACTATTATTTTAAAACTAAATGTTGTATTTAAAGTTGCAATACTGTATTTAACTTTTATTTACATTTCTATTTCAGTTAATAAATGCCAAGAAAAATGAATTATTTTTAAAACAGAAGTTTTTATTTTACCTTTTTACAAAATGAAAATATGGTGTTTAATTTTTATGTTGTAGGAGGCAAACAAGCAGATGGATCACCTGATAGAAAGTGCAAGCCAGTAGTCATACGAAAGTTCCCAGCCTAAAACACAGTGTTCAGGAAAACATTCCCTATATAGATCATTCACACATTTTTCATATATGATAGTAAAATGAAACACAATTGAACCATTTTTTTTCAGATAACAAAATATAAAACACAGAATTTAATGTACAGTTTAGATAAGTTCACTTTGAACTGCCAATGTACAAACAATATGATAAACGCTGACATTAATATACCTATTGAAATGATTAGTCTTTTCACTGTATTACTCATAAAATACAATAGTTACAACTAATATATAACTAATTTATTTCTTATTATCATGTTTAAAATCAACATAAAATGATTCAGTTAATTTACCTCTTTTAAGTTTATAAGTTCTTTAAATTAATATAATTATGACAAGTCCTTTTCTTTAATTGAAACAATAAGCACTTACATGCCAATGACAAAGGTGTTTTATGCTTGAATTACTCATGCCTTACTGTGCTGTGTTTTTTTTATAAATGTCACATCTAGTGTAGCATTGTATTTGCAGTGAGCCAAGTTGTTATTGATTTTCAATATAATACCAATGTACACTTATACTTAACTCCTCACGTGCCGCTACCCTGTACAGTGCTTGCCGGCGAAGGTACTTTACAGTGTAGCGACATATCACCACATATGAGAGGTTAAGATCCAATATTTCATACAAAGATGACAGTACTCACTAAGTCAATAATTTTCTTTTATACAACTCCAACATTTAAATAATATAAATCCTGATCTCTACAACAATTTCTGTATATTGGTTCCCCACTAAGTTTTAGTTACTGTAAACAAACTATGTCTGTATGCAGCAGCTATAAAATTAAGAGAACCTCTTTTATACTATATTTTTTAAATATGAAAACATAGAGTTCATGCCTTCAGCGCTAGTCACATTGACAGCGCAAGTGCATTTAGGCTATTGACTTGGAGTAGCTTCACTTTCTGGTCGGTTTAGTACTGGTTTACCTGCAATTACTGGCTTCTCTGTTATTTGTGGTTTCTCTGTTATTTGTGGCTTCTCTGATATTTTAGGTTTCTCTGCTATCAAAGGTTTCTCTTCTGATATCGGTTGTTCTACAGGTTCATTTCCTTCTTCTTGATCATTATTTTCAATGTGTGCATTTGATAGTTTATTTGTTATCACATCAGGTTTTTCTTGTTCCATTTCTGAAGGTCCATTCGGTTTATCACCGTCAGACATTGACGGTGAGATAGATCTTTGCATTAAATTGGGATTAGAAGACACATTTGTAGAGACACTGTGGGAATTATCTTCACTTGAAACACTCAACTGCCTTGGCATCTGTTGACTTGGATGAGATAAAGTCTGAGGAACATGTGCATTATGCAATGGTAGCCTAGACTTGTCACTCTTTCTCCATAGTGTAACTTCCTGTTGTTTGAAGTAGCGGCGATCCTCTGTATCCATTAACACTAAATTTAGGTAATAACGTACTGAAAACTTATTGTTTATATCTCTCATAGTCGGTGTTAGGTCATAGCCTGCCAAGAAAACTCTAATGGGGATGCTTTCTCCTCTAACTGGAGCGCCATCCATGATTTCATATTTTGCAACAGTTTCATTTTCTGTGAATGTGTTAGGCCCAGAACCTGTAGTTTCTCTCTTTATTATAGATATTTCCATGTGTTTGATTTTAATCCTTACGAGTAAAAAGTAAATTTTACCGACGATTACATCTTTCAGATGATATTTTGATTTATTATACTCAAACTCTATGTGTAGGCAGTCTTCTATGCCTACTTCCATTTTTATCGAATTTAACACATCCGGGTAACTGCATAACGTATGAACCGCGATATCCACCTCTTTTACTACGTCAGTGAGGCGGCGCACGATCGTGGCTCTCAAGAAATACCTTAATCTGACATTTGCACCCGTATACACTTCATACGGCTTTTCAACATTCGCGAACTCAAATGGATACGAAGTATGCTGTAGCAGATCACCAGGACGAGCTAGTTCTTTTACCAAAGATATAAACTCATGGTGATTACCTCTATCGTAAAATAACTCAATCTGACCTATGAGTTCGACCTTGATTCCTTGATGTTCAAGTTTCGACCCCGGTTTCCGAAGAGTTACGTTTACTCTGCCAGACACGGTTTCCCCATCGTAATAAAGCAATAACTTCTCCTTTTTCCCATCGTCCGTTTTCACTTCGGCAACCTTTCGTTTGTCAGCATCATCAAATACAATTTCAATATCCGCAGTCTGTCCGAATCCGAAAAAGCTCATTTTTGCACTTATCACTTGCACTGACTACCGGAAACTTATTATGTGGCTTTAGAACAGAACAGTAACGATATAATTGAGCAAAACATTGAAAAACGGCGACGAAACGCCCGCAAATCTGAAGAGGCGATTGAAAGGTTGAAGCAAAGATGGCGACTGACTTCATGTCGGCTGTCGGCGTATTGGTTCGTAAATAAAATTATAATGAAAAAACTCACCATTAAGGCATTTCTGGATCTCACAAGCAAATTTCTTACACGGGTCAGGTTGCGGCATGAGTGGACAATTGACGATAAATCAAGAAAAGTATTTTTAAAACCTAAATTTCAATCATGTGTACATACAACAAAATTTTCGTGCGGCAACTTTTTTAAAGGTGTTTGTTCACTCAATAATTATATAACTTTTTGTTACAGAAGTAATTATAATTACATAATTTCAATTAATGATAATTTTATTAAACTAGAAAGCAATAATTCGAAAGAAAACCTACTTTACGAAACTTGAATACCTACCTATATGAGTAGCATGCATTGCGTTCAAGTTAGAACAAAAAAAGTAAGATACTACTGCGCAAAAAAAAAACAACAAGAAATATATCCAGAACTTAATTTCTATCATCTTGAAATCTTTAAAATTGGTGTAAACATATTTTTGTTTGTTGTAAAATGGTAATGTATAATGCGATCACACTGCCGTGTGTGTGGTAATAAAAAACGAGATAATGATATATGCTACTTCTATTAGTGAGATAGCATTGTAAGAAATCTAATTAGAACTTAACTATTTGCTTGAGATATTTTTTAAATCTGTAACGTCGTAACTCGTGTAAGAAAGCTCCTCGATAAAGACTCCTGTACACATTGGCCAGTGTTGGGCCAGGCTCCGCAATGCGCAATTGTAGACCCAGAATCCGTAGGTGTTAACAATGAGCTATGCACCAATGTGTGAACACTGTTCACACAGAGGCAAATTAAGTATTAAGCGCGCCCTAGGCAGGCACCTTATCGACACCCTCTGCATCTCTCTGTCGCCCACACTATATTATTATTAGCTACTAGTTGACCTTAGTAAATGTGTGATACTCCAAATTTTAAATGGCATTTCTTCACTATAACTTTTTTACTATTTTTTTACGTGTGACGTGATGACGGCTCCGAACCCCTCTCAGCAACTAGCCTTTAAAATCGCGGGCACCGCTTTCGGGGAAAAACTCTTATTGAGGAGACGTCCGCCACACGAGGACGTCACTTTCTCACGGTAGGCCTTTGTGATGAGTGAAGCAGAAAACTCACTCCGATGACTGCATAAGCCCCCGACGCTACATTTACGAGCGAAGCTACTACAAATAATGTTTTAATTATATTTATTTGTATTAAGTCTACAATCTTTTTACAACTTTTATTTGAGTAGGTACATCACACTAGAGAATGTGCAGCAAAAGAGAAAAAAAGGCTTGAAGACACAATAGGGTTCACATAAGCCGTATTGATGTGACACTTTCGGCTTGATCGCTTGTGTGGAGCTAGTGTAATTCCAACGGGCGCGAAATATTATCTTCATAGGTGTCAGAGAAGTAATTACGGCCGCAGGTATTTGTTTTCCTTTTTTTAAAAAAAAATGTTAAAACAAAGGAACAAGCGGAAATCACCAGAACCACTTGTGGCGACTCCCACATTTAAAGAAACAGAAACTTACTACAGTGCCATCTAACGAAGACACACCGAACTACGGAGTAACTACTAAATAAGAATTGCTAATCCTGTCTAGCTGTATGAAGAATTCTCTCGCTGATTAGCATATATACAGCTGCCCAACATCAACCGTTGGGCCGCGGCCCACCAGGCATGATCACCACGTCTGGTCGGAGGATCCTCCCTTTGTGTTGGAGGCACATGACATCATGGAGGAACTCCACACACTTATTTTTAAGGGACGTGGCTTAGTACTGACGTCACTTTCCATTTAGAGTGATTGAAGGCAGTGCGACCCCAGTTCAAACTCTCTTTTACACGGTGACATCAGAGCTGGATCAACGTGTTAGCATCGAGAATCATCGACAGTTGTTACTTGATTGAATTATTTGATATTGATCAATGGGTACTGTTTTTTTTTACCACATTCACATAAGCAAACCAAACTAAGCAGAGCTTATACTACGGGTGTACTAAACAACTGATATAAATACTTATATACTTGTTTTTTTGTAAATACGTACAAGTTATACATAGAAACACCAAATCAAACATTATTTGTCCATGCACACAAATGTTCGACTTCGGGAATCGAACCCGTGACCTTTGGAATAGCAGTCCGTTACACAAACCACAACGCCAGCCGGTGTTGTGTAAAGGTATACATTCTTTTTTTTTAGCGTTTTGAAAGGTTTATAAGTTAGTGTTACTTAATTCTAAACTCGCAAAATTTTTACTTTTTTGTGAGAAGCGCTCTTTTATACAACAATGAACCAAATTATGTACACCTAATTCTAGACACAGCAATACACAATTTTAGCATACTAGCTGCGCCCCGCGGTGTAACCCGTGTTTGTTATTGTACCTTGCTCATCCCCAGGGAACTACATTTTTTCGGGATAAAAAGTAGCCTATTCTAGACTATAATCTATCTCTGTGCCAAATTTGATCCAGATCCGATCAGACGTTTTTGCGTGAAAGAGTAACAAACATCCATACACACTTTTGCCCTTATTAGTAAGGTTAAACTTATGACACATTGTAATTATGTTAACTATATGACCTTATGGATGTAACTTTAAATACAAATATCTACCTACCACTTTTATTTTTTTTACTTTTACATTATATTGTTATTGTTAAATACAAATAGTCGCGGCCATTACTTCCACGTCCATCGCAATTGCCAGGCAACAATGAGCTATGCAGCAATGTATGTCGTGTGAACACCTGAGCCTGGCGAACACTGGGGAATGTATACTGGAGCCTTAAATGTTCAAACCTTTCACTGCAACTTTCACATATAAGTTTAAACGAGACGAATGACATTATATAAGAGATTACTTTGTTCAATGTTACAGAGGTGTGGGTTGAAAAAATTATCTGTATACCCATATTTTTCAATGCATTGGTGTTGACATCAAGTCGAACTAATGACGTATAGTCTATGAACGTTAAAAAAAGTAAAATATCCTATCCATCCAGTGCTGCCATCAAAATAATCCCTTTTTACATAAATGGCGGATATCAAAATTCTGTAACAAAAGCGAATTGATATTTCACGAATATAAAACTACGAGAGTGTAAATATAGATATGGAGATTACGCGTGCTACTTTAGGAATTGCAGTTGGAATAGCTGGGACCTTGTTCCTCGGCTATTGTGTGTACTTTGACCAACAACGTCGCAAGGACCCACTATTCAAAAAAAAGCTGAGAGAACGTAAGTGTTTTTGTTTCTTGACTAAAATCTATTGTTAAAGCATAGCTATAATGATAATTAACGATATGGTCAAATCTTTTGCAAGGTTTTTGTCTTTTTCTAACCTAAAAATTACCAGAATTGTTGGTTACAACACCTTGCGTTTATTCTGTTTTTGCATGATTTACTACAAAATTCCGTCAGTGTGCCATAACACTCAATGAAACCGATCACGCACATGTTAAATTTAGAAACTTCGAATGCAACTACGCTTGACAGGGCCTGCACAATTTTTTTTTTATTGGTATATCTTTTTATTTAACTATTGATAATAAACTTTTGAAATACCTCGGTTTAAAGATTTTAAGTTTTATTTCATCATCAACAGGCCTTAATAGCCCACCAGCGGTGGGACATGAGCCTCTTCTTAAGAGGGAGGTTAGCTTTATTTAGAAATATGTATGTTGAATCTGTTCATATGAGTAGTAGGTGGCTTACTCAATATTAGATACTCATTTCTGTTACCTGAGTACTACCTGAGTACTGGAGTAACAATAATGAGTATCAGAGAGTAAATGGTCTACCACAAAACCAGACTCAGTCAACACTCATTAGAAGTTAACATACATGATGAGGTTCCAGAATATTAATGTGAATGTTAATGGTCCCAGATGACTCTATAATGCTTCTAGCTGCAGAGGAATTAAAAGACACATGTATTTAAATAGTACATATGTTGTGGGATTAAGACAATATATTATTTATATAAGGAAATAAGTTGTGAAAAGGTCCTACCCGTATTGGACATGTCAGTAGGTTCTCGCTTTTTCAAATAAGAATTATAATGGCTGAACTGGCTTTCTTATCTTTCAAAAATTTAAAAGGTGTTTTCAATATTGTATCAAAAAGACGGCTCTTTCCACTTGAATCACATAAAAGTTGTAGACTGTACTGTAGTTGGCTCTATCCCCCAGGGGATCCTGGGGGATAGAGCCAGAAATTGAAATTTCACGATTTATAAAATTATTTATAATTAATGAAATATTAATAATAAAAATTCTTGAGATGGTTTCCAATTATTGTAAAATACTTTGTTACCCTAAATAAACTAAATATACAAAAATATTATACACCTCACATAATACTATTAGGTTGTCTCAATATTCTAAACATACATTCCTACAAAGGTGTCATACAAAATACCCAAGTTATATGAAAAACATCAAACAACAAGACAACAAATAATAATACATATGTTACACGCCTTGTGCTACACGTATATAATGATACGGAGACTAAACTTTTACGGTCTGGTGATTTTAAACATTATGTAACAAAATGAAACTTATCCCGTGAAAAAATTAAGAGTAATTTAATGTGGCAATAATGCTGGCATCAAAACAATCAGACATGTGAAGCATAAAGGCTCTTACTTTTCTTAAATTATTTGATAGTGTTAGACTATCTCTCTTTCTCTTTCTCTCTCTGTCTCTGTGTGTTTCTTATTAGTTTATTGACTGGCTTGTTGGTTAAGTGGTTAGTGATTCTGACTGCTAAGCCAAAGGTTGTGGGCTTCAATTCCTACCCAGGACAAATAATTGTGTGATGAGTATAATCATTTGTTCTGTGTCTGGGTATAATTTATCTATAATATGAATGTATTTAGAAATATATATGTATGTTACTCAGTGGTCTGATTACCTAAATACAGACACTACTGCTTAATTTGGAGTCAGTGTGAAATGTCTTGAGTTCTAATAATTATTATTTTTGTTGCAAGTATTTACTGATGTCCCAAGCTTGGTTCTGTGTTACAAAATTGTTTAAAGATCAGGCACATAATCTTTGTTATGCATGGTTTTAACGACTTCTGAAGTCAAGTCTGAATTGACTTACATCATCATCTAAATGCTAATGAAGCTATTAGAAGAGCCCTATGAATAAACACATGAAATATTCTTAAAATATATGACAGTAAAATCAAAATTGTAGAAAACTAGGTTAACAAAAATGTAATTATGCCTTATCTGATATCTAATCAATTGTATGAAATGACCAAAGTTAATATAATAGACAAAATGTAAGTCATAAATAATGAAACCACTGGTCATTAAACCCACAATGTTTTGTTATTTACAAATTTTTGCAATAGCTCATTCATTCCAACTGCCTCATTAGTGCAGTGGCTTGGACTTGTATATATTCTCAATTTCTTGTTCTTGTTTTTGATATCAGGCAGACAGAATGCTCAACAGAATGCGTCTCGTACGCACATAATGGGTGGAGCCCTTCCTGACATGAGTGACCATGAAGCTATGCAGCGGTTCTTCTTGCAACAGGTACATATTGCTTTGAATATGCATGTAGATTTATACTATCCATACATACCAATTAAAAAAAAATAACAATAATCTAATTATTGTCCACCTTAAAAATGAATATGCCATAACATCATCATCTTTATTCCATTAAATATACATATAAATTACATTTTTCATTTATTATTAATACCATGACCATATGGTACATGGTAAGCGCAACCTGTCTTTACTAATCAGGCCAAGCGGCAAAAGACCTTGTCCCACTAAAAGAATAACTTGACACATCACTAGGGATGGAATAAAATCAACATATGATTAATAAAAACAATGATTATTACTGTTATTATTACGCTAGCGCCAGACTTGCGACAGGTGTAAATTAAAAAAAAGTTGATAAAAAGAATTTTGATTGATTTTGATGGCATTTATCTTTGTCTATGTCCAAATCACAATCACCAGTGAAATCGCTGTGACTATATATAATCATTACATCATATGATTATCATTTAAAAATAGCAACAATTTTCATGTCTACATCTCACTATATATACATGTAAGTCAGATTTTTTCATATCACTAATTTATCAAAACAATTTTTCAATTGTACTGTTATCCTTCAGATTCAACTTGGAGAAGAACTCCTAGCAGCAGGCGACTTAGAAGCAGGTGTAGAGCACCTTTGCCAGGCCGTCGCTGTCTGCGGTCAGACACAACAGTTGCTCAGTGTAAGTATTAGAATTATTAAGTACTAGCGATCCGCCCCTTTTTGTTTTTTCTTTTTTCCGTGCCGAAATCCCCTCGGATACCACCTATCGGTGGCATGTCGGACTCGAACCGACTAAAACCGCACGTCGTCTCGGGTACTAATAGCCGGGGAACCAGGTATACCCTAGAAAGAAAGTCCCTGGTGCCCCGACATACCTCGGCCATCTACAGACGAGTAGACGACCTCCCCCGTGTGGGAACCCCATGTTCCCTCTGCTCCCTGGAAGCTGCTCGCCGTAGCGATCCGCCCCGGCTTCGCAAATGTGCAATGTATGTACTACTAATGTCAGTGTGGAGTAATTTATTATACTATTATTATCATAGGACCATACTACTAGACATCTTTATATGCAATATTTATAGGCCTGCTCCAATCCTGGAGGCTGCTGCCACCCGGGACGGATTTACGGTTCGAAGGCCCTTGGAGCACCGCATTTTAAACCTCTAATATCTTCTAAACTATTCATTTTAATGATATGGTGTGATATAGCAATTTTAATCTATATTAAATGCATAACAATACGGGTTTTACGATAAATCTTTGAAATTCTCGGATTTTCTCTTATCTAATATGCATGTATTATACACATAAATGTACTATTGGTGAAAGCCGCATTGAAATCCATTGCTTAGTTTAAAAAATGTAAGCGTACTACAAAAACGTGACTATATTATTCTATGTAAAGAATGAATTTAAACTTTTCTTAAAGTTATTAATAACCTAGTTGAAAGTGTGTGTCCTCTGTACACGGTACTTAGTTACAGCTTTCATCTTTGTTTGCCTTAAGCCTTAAAATTATTTTTTATTCCTCAGGAACAGTAAGGAATTAGACATATTCTATGTTATGTATATGTTTATGATAACTTATTGAGTGCTAAAGAACAATGAAATTTTTATAATGAAATGATTTTGATATCATCATCAGCCTATTGAAGTCTACTTCTGGACATGCCTCTCCTATTGCACGCCACTTCAATCAGTTTTCGCCTTCTCGCATTCAGCTCCTGCCAGCCATCTTACGCAAATCGTCACTCCACCTGGCCTGGATTTTAATATATTTTAGTCAAATAAAACAATAAATAAAAGATAGTTAGCTAGCTAAGCTTTTTACACTGTGCTCCGAATATATTGTTTTTTTAACACATTTTGTACCAAATGAAACATACTTAAACACCTGTGAAAATTCTTCTCCAGATTCTTCAGCAAACAATGCCAGCTCCCATCTTCCACTTGCTGTTGAAGAAACTGCCCGTGGTATCTGAGAGACTGCGAACCAACATGAAGGCTAGCGGAAAGGTGCTCCAAGAGGAGGATGTCGAATAAACTGTCACTACACACAGTTAGAGAAGAGAATATTTAATATTTCCGTCTAATATCTCGCTAATAATGGAGCGTTTCCATTTTTGGTCGATAGATGTCGCTAAAGTGACGCGAGGTCAAATAGTCCCGTTTCTGATTTGTTTTACCATCATGTTACTGTTGGTACGTATAAATATTTATTTTTCGTACTTTATTATATGATAGTTAAGAAATTTAAAGTAATTAATTAGTGTTAATTATTTAATATTAGTTTTAAACACCTCACGTCATAGAAGCTTGAATAACAATAACTTAAATCTTAACTTTTCTCTGACTGGACTTTCATAAATTATCCTGTTGGGCTGAGCGCCCGGGGCTATTGTAGCCGACGCGACAATGTGGATTACATGTTGCGTTGAATTAGAATATACAGCATCGTACCATTATGGGCTTCTTAGTAATTAAATTATTATAAACCCCCTTCAAAGTTACTATTCTCATTATTTCTAAAGTCGCGACGTGCATATTCTTAAATTTTCCTAGTTGGGTGCATTGGGCTGTGATAGAAAATGTACTTGAAAAGTCCGCCATTTCACGTCGAATCTTTGCAAATGGAAAGTGTATCGTGAATAAACAAGTTCAATGTAGGTATTTTGTTAGTTTTATTTAGGTTTTGTTTTGTTCACAACTGGTTAAGGATGCTTGTGAGTTTTGATTGAGATTTTACTGTGAATTAAACATAATGTACAATAAAGTTTGTTTTATTTTCCTACTAATTTAACGTATATATTTGGCGCTCTTTGGGTAAGGTCTTCGTGCTGCAATGGACGGCGATAGCCCGATGATGATAGCTTATATATTGCTTAAACATTTTAGCTTAAGGTAAGAATTCCGAATATACTAGTAAAATGGTTCCGGGGTAGTGTGGTATACGTAATTTTATTACCGTCTTCCCGCAACACACACGCACACGAATTCTCTTTCTTCTTATTAATACATAGAAACATTAAAATGTTTCTTTGCATGTGCTCAAATTCATTATTAAGTGGAACAATTTTAGGAAAAATAATTGATAAACATTTCAAAAAGTAAAAGTGAGAATAGTATTAATATGCCTTAATGCAGAATTGAGGCATAGTGTCTGAAGAAATAATAAAATTGTAAGCGTGTTAGGTGTAAGTTTGTCAACAGGTTAGAAATAAATCGATATATATCCTTTACCCTTTTATTAAATTAAAAATTCAACAACAATATGTAACAACTGAATAAACAGTATAAATAAGTCTTATAAAAAAGCGAGGACTCGCGTCATGATTTACCTTAACTTGCGGGTTTTACTTCTTGGCGACACTAAAAAAAAAGTTTCTCCTTAGTCAGGATTTTAGTAAATAGTGGAGACTTAGGGGAGATGAGTAACAAGAATGAAATGTGTTCTTTACGTTAAATAACATATTATTATCTGACCTATATATTTCTTTTAGTAATCGGTAAGTATAAAGGTAATCTAGAATTCACTGACAATTGCTGTGCCAATTGTATTTTTTTTATAATATATCGTGTAAGAATCGTGTGTGATATTTGTAATTTTTTTTGTTTGCGAAAATCCCTTCGGATACCACCCAACGGTGGTTAGGTCGGACATGGCCGCCTATAATAAATTATTCACGTCACAGGTCATGACCGTAATATAAATACATTCTAACATGAAGAAATTTTAATTATTATTCTCCCAAATATGATAAAAGTCTAAATCAGGAACATTCACTAAATAAATAATTTCAGCCTTATTATTTATGTTTTTATTACATAGTCAAATAATTTGTAACCAATAAGAGAAAATCTTTGTTTAACATATTGTAAATAAACCGCTTATTTGAGTCTTCGACTGAGGGGTACAGACACGGAGGTAGGACGAGAACGGGGGACTCGATATAAATCGATACTTAATTGGATCAATATTTAATGGTACTATACCATTTTGATCATGGTTACGGGTAAACTTAAGTGATCATTCTTTGTAAAATATTACCGTGATTAGGTCCTTATCTTTAAAAGGAAAACTATTTTAATACTTTACAATAGATAATATTATCTTTATTTTCATTTACTATCTTTTGCCCGCGGCTCCGCCTGTGTGTATGTCGGTTATCGGGATAATAGCCTATGTCCTTTATCAAGAATCGACCTATCTCCATACCAAATTTCATCTGAATTGGGTTATTGATTCCCAATACAAACTTCCATCCCCCTAATGGATAAATTCTGGGATAAAAGCTATCCTATACCCTTGATTCAGATGAAATTTGGTACAAATTTCATCTGAATCAGTTCCGCGGTTTAAGCGCGAAGAGGTAACAGACAGACACTTTCGCATATATAATATTAGTAAGTATAGTATGGATCATTCCATCGTTAGTCGATACTTTTTCCTCGCCTATTTCGACTGTTCTATTATTGAAATTTGGTAATAAACTTAACCACATAATGTTTCAGTGTTTCGCATTTAAACAAAGACAGCAGGAAAAAGAATGTGTGCCTCGTAAAATATGTCGCATATTTAGCGCGGCACTCAATTCTTTTTCCTAAACAAAATTAGTCTAAGTTACTCCTAATAACTAAATCTATATAACCGTGAATATCCTGTGAAAATCGGTAAAAAGATTTTTGGATTTTCGCACTGAAGAAAGTTACTATGGTATAAGTTATTATGGCATAAGAAAAACTTTTTTGTAGGAAGGCACATGTTTTTTTTTATGAACTAGGTTTTGGGCAATTTTATTAAACGTTGTTAAGTACCTGCTAAAACTGATAAATAATATACAACAGGGTATTTAAATAAACAATTTTAAAAACTATAATTACCAATTAAAGAGATGTCATGATAACATAAAGGAGGCTGATAGTACGAATCAAGATAGTACTCCGAAACTTTACTATTTCCGAATATATATTATCTATTATATATATTTCCGAATGCTATTTACACACGGCAGAAGTAAAACTTCCGAATTTATTTATTTTTTATCTAAAAATACCCTATAAAATATTGCCCGGCCCGGGAAGCCCACTGAGGCAGCGTTTTTTTTAAATTCCACGCCAACGAAGTCGCGGGTACCACATAGTTTTAAATAAAAATATTCACATTGTCAAAATATTATATTAAAAATAATCCTATACATTTATGTGTCTGTTTCTTAACGTGACGCATTTTCGTTTCATCAAGTTTCAAATAACAAGTCTAAAGTTTCACTTTAAAAATAATTGCAATACCCACACTACTGCTCGTAAGAGCTTCAACGTGATCTTACATAGTCTAGAGCCTTCCTCGATGTATACGAAAAAAACAAACAAAAAAACTAGTTTTATTATACCTATTATTAATGACGTTAAATTACCACTCCCAGAAAACATAAGCTTTTATGGCGTTGTATGGCAAAGTCGTTGTTAATTTTGTCTGTTAAGTGTCAACACTGATAAATACATTGCAACCCATTTAATACAATGGCTGATTTCGCACTAATACGGGCGTAAAACACTAACTATCACAGTAGACGCGAAATCTGTAGCGTATGACGCGTAGCCGGGATTTATTTTAAGGTAGAACAAAATATTGAATAATATTTAATTCATAATTAATTGTAATAAACTGTAGTCGTTCATTATTTTTCCACCCCTAGTATTTTTCTAAGTATACTTTCCTAAATAAAGTAAGAATTTTCTAAGTCAGTTTATATATTAAGGAGTTTTGGAAGTAAAAAAAATATTACCGAATTGAGAACCTTATGTTATTAAAGTCGATTAAAAATGTCTACTCTTTGTTCCGGCATGCATCACGCCAGCACGTAATCGACTTTCTAGTAGATACTTTTCGATTATTTCCTATTTCGGTAAGTTGAAAAATATTGTAAATTATGTTCATCATCCATTCATATGGAGCAAGTGTCCCAACCTGCGAGACGTTGGCTATGGGCCTCAGTTAAGTACGATACTACTTCCATAAATAAATTAATGTAAATAATCATTATACCCATACAAGCTAAGAAAAGGAGATGAAGAAGGGCAATTCTCTTTAGAATCGTCTTACTACAATCATTTAACTCTGTACGAGACCCGTAGCATACATGATATAAAATTATATATATATATATATACACACAGACATCGAATCATTCACTTCAACCAACATATTAAATCTATAGAAACAAACCAATAAATGATATTGTACACCATTTATATTCTAACCGATTTCTCATTATCAATTTATGTAAAAAATATATTACATAAATACAATATACAACTTCAAATAATAAAAATATTGTCAATCATGAGGTTTTAGCGACCGTCGAGTTCCTTATTAAATCTTGAGTGACTTTCATCACATCTAAAGCACCTTTCTCAATGAGAGCGTTGGCGAGGTCCTTACCTAAGTTGTCACACTTGATTATTACCTCTATAGGTACGCTCACATTCGCTGTCAACCCACAAAATATTCTCTTATCAGCATGAAACTCCTCATTCAAACTGACGTCACTACAATTACCGATTTTATCACTTATTACATTACTAATTATCTCTGGAGGAACCGTTTTGTTGGCGTCGTCCGATATCTTGATTTTTTTACATTCTTGTTCTTCTGTGGGGCTCAGTTTGTGTTTCTGTGTGCGTTTTATTTGTACAAATGTTTGTTTTAACGTGTGGTCCAGTTTGATGGAGCCGTCTAGGCTCCAAACTGCGCCTGTTATGGACAGTTGGAACTGTGCATCTAATGGTTTTAGGGTTGTCGAAACGCCTACAGGCGCACTGCATCCACCGCCTGTAAATAAACGACATTTTTTTAGGTGGCTTTAGTCTCCTGTCGTCATAGTAGGCCAAAACCTCATTTCTCAGCAGAGGCCTATGTCCAGCAGTGGACTATTAAAGGCTGTTGATGTGATGTGATATGATGTTCGAGAAGTTTTTAGAGAGGTTTCGAGTTAGACGAGTTTTTAGATAAATTTCTTGAACTTTCTGGAACTATCTACGAAATAAACGTAGTTTATTGCATACTTATTGCACCCGATGTAACAACATTATAGTCCTGCGAATACGATACAGTCGTAAACAAGTGGGAAGGGTAAAATACAAGCGAATATCAATGAATTTATTGTTATTAAATATATTATGTCTATTTTGTGCACGAACCTTAGCACAAACCTCAGCTCGTTTAAAATCCCGATGAGAACTGTTATAAAGACATGAAGGTTGTACGTAGCATACCTAAAGTCTTGAGAAAGCTCCTCTCGGCGAGTATCCTGCAGTAGGTCTCGGGGTGGCTGAAGGGCGCGAGCAGGCCGAGCAGCGCGGCGTCGTCGGCGCGACACTCCACGGCCAGCGCGCCCTGACCCACCGCGTACTTCATCTCCGCGCACGGCAGCACCTGCACACAGCACTGCTTTAGCATTCTAACCACTTCATTTATACTATATTTCAGTAAATGAACTGGGTATTCAGCTCCCATTAACGTGAAGACATCTAGGGATTTGTTGAACTGATGAAGCTACTGTTATCCTTACGATGACGTGACAGGTATATCTCTTGACTAAGAGTCCTTGTCGGATTCAAAACTAAGTTAGGAACACCAAAGTAGATACATTATCCATTCTCTTTATTTATATTAATATTAAGAACTTTTTGTTGTACAACCATTAAAGCCGAGGTACGAGAATAAAAGTTTATGAATAACAGAACAGCTTGTCTCTGTCAAAATCAGTTGGACACTAAGTCTTGTAACGTTAACTTGGCACCTAATCTCAAATTCGAGCCACTTGAACGAGCGTAACTACTACAACACTACTTGCACGTTGGAATTACAGGATAGGTAAAGATACTTCCTTAGCACGGGTGAAAGATGAAACTCTAATTTACCTTACTTTTCTTTAATTTACTATGTTATACTGTTCATCATTTCATTTTGCATATATATATGCAAGGATAGCATAGGTACTATTATCTAGAAAAAAACATATTCTTTTACGATGAATAAAATATTTATATGCCGAAACGGAACGAGCAAAAAAGAACGAAGTGAGGTGTCTATGGACCCCCGGTCGGTACAAAGTTCCTTTCGCTTTTTGGTAAACGTTTGCTATTATACACCATTTTAATTTATATTATAGAATATCAAGGTTTTAAGGTTAAATTGTTTTTTTTTTTTGATAAAATATATTTATTATTTATAAAATGACTACTGATAAATTAAACACTGAACATCTGAGATAATTAGGTTGTTAATACAACAAATTAAAAAAAACAGTAAAAAGCTGTACCTATAGCAAGAAGTGTCGGCAAAAGTCTTGTTACACATTTTGTCGGTTTCGCTCCCATCCGCTCAGAGCGTGTAACGCGCTATAGGGAACTTCGTTACAAAAACATATAAAATGACGACACATTTCTGCTAACCCTCTGACTTATCTTTCTTTCTATATTTAAAACTTGACTTGATATGAACTATTACCTTAGATATCTTGTCAGCCCAACCCATCCTATGGAGTCCAGCGCTGGCCAACAGTAGTGCCGCGTACTGATCCCCACTGTTGAGTTTTGTGAGACGCGTATTTAAGTTCCCGCGGACGTCCGCCACTCGTAACTGAGGATAACTGCCACGGAGTTGAGCAGTACGACGCAGTGATGACGTACCTATACACACAATGGTGATGATAAAGTGTGACGCTGAATGACATCGCTTAAGCGTTTGAAGTAGCAAATAACAAGAGGTTAACAATGGTTAGGACAAAAAGCGGTTTTAATTCTCTCTTGCGGGCTTCAACTTGTTTACGGCCCATAGTTTTTCGGAATAGAATGAACTAAAGTTACACAATATATTGCGGTAAGGTGCACAGTGTCAAACGATGGGTATGCTTAAATCCTAACCTCATTTTAAGGAGAATGACAGACGTGATTTCTGCATACATAAGCAGAGGTTATAAGAGCTCTCAGGGGGCAGCAGTATTGCCGACAACCGCCTTTAAAAATTTGATGAAAAAATTGGGCGTTCTATATGAATGGGAGGTTAAAATAAGTACTGTTGAAAAGGGAAATTGATTAGGTATACGAGTGGTTTGGGGGTATAAGTAATAGCTTACTAAAACCTAAATAGGTTTTAGTAAGCTATTACTTAGGCCAGGGTCGTGTAACTCGAGCTAACTGTTGGTGGGAAGTTAGAGCCTTCTAACCAATTTCTAATGTTTGTTTTTTACGATAACTGATATTTATTATCGAACGGTAACTTACCTATAACAGAGCCTTCTGGTAGTGTGGCCAATGTATAGTCTTTGAAATCTTCTCTGAGCACTAATGCGTCTCTGGGATCCTCCCTGAAATTATAATACAATTTTAATTTACTCTATAACCTAATTACATTTTATTGAGGTTAAATTGACCAAGTTTTAACTGTTTTTTCTTTCCTAAACCTAGACTTTTTAAGAGTTGCGTTCCTCACGGGAAAAAGGGAACTCGAATGACGTTGTTGTCTGCTTATAACAATCATGTCTGTCAAGAATCTTTATTTTAAGAATAAGTCCAAACAAACAAATTAAAATTAAATATGCTTGCGATCTCTTGAAGTTGAGATTCTTTATCAAAAGATATGAAAAGGCCATTAAATATAAATTTAACGCAATCGCAGGTAAATCCACAACTTATAGGGTACTTTGCTTTCGACTTCAATTCCCCCTAAGGGTAAAAATTAAAGGATTAAGAATACATTTTATTACATTTCAGCATAATGAAGGCACGTTGAAGACGTTTGTCAAAGTTTATTTGTGTTACTGTTCGTTTCATTGTTTAATTTTAAAGTGTGAGAGTATATTTGGCGGCTCCTCACATGCCGAATGTCCCAGATGATAATGTATTACAAATGCGCATGTGAACTTTAACCGACGACAAGCGACGCAACTTTTAGTTATGAATACTCTAGCATTCAAATGAAATGACGTTTTTATTAAGTCGCTACGGCTGGTATATGTGTATTTTAATGTTAACAAGATGTTTTGAATCTGATCAAATGATTTTGGAAATCAGTTTATCCAGAGCGTGTTGGAGTACCCTATAGTATTTTAAATGAAAATAAATATTTTAGTATTGCATCTAGTGGGTTTATCACTATTATTTATTTGGGTGATTCATTTTTATTTAAATAGGTTATTATTATTATGGCCCGATTTGAATGTTTTTATCTTCAAGAGTATATTGGATCTTAGGTCTTTAAACATAACAATTAATCATTTAGTAATCAATTTGTATAAATTTATGTATACTTATTGTCAGCACCCGTGTTAGACTAACTTAGAATTAATTATATATTTTGAATTAACCTTTTAGTTCTTGAGATTAGGGAGTTCAAACGTGTGTATGTAACACACATTCCAGTGAAGAGTTCAATTAATAGTACATTGTAGTTACAATTGGTTGTTCAAGGCAATAAAAAATACCGTATATAGAATAGAAAACGCGTCAATTATTTCCTTTTCCTCAAGTACGTAATTAGATTTATCCTTGTTCTATCGGCCTGATGCTTAGAATAAATATACCAACATGATTTCTACAACCTGAGGTTTTAACCGACTTCAAAAGATGATGGTTGTGGTAATTTAGTGCTTATTACTTCAGAACTCCGACGATTATTCACGGATTTGGAAAACGTTTTTATTTTGGTTCCATTGAAATTTGATGAAAATTTCATCTCTAAAGGTAAAGGGTAAAAATAAAGGGATGAAGAATACAGTTTATATAATTCGTCTTGATGTACATACTCGTTATTAAAGTTAGAGATACTTTTGTAAAAGTTAACCATTCAATTCTCTTCCACAAGCTATAAACTTTATAATGTGATATAAATATTGAGAATAGTTGACAGACTGATTAAATACTTAATACAACTAAAACCAAAAAAGTGTCTTGTTTGCAACAACTTTAGAAAAATGTCTTGAAATATATTTCCATGCTATCCTAAACTGAATCAGATCCGTTTCTATGAATTTCCTTTTTTTCACATTTTTTCACTTGTCATAACCATTTTAGATAGCTCACGCTGACACAGCAGATTTATCTAGTTTGTTTATTCAGACTTTAACTCTAACCGGCGGAATACAATGGTTAAAAAACTATTATCACTAAAAATAACCGATAGTAATATTTTAAATAAATCTATTTTTTACGCAACGACACCGACTAGCCGGGGGCTCTGGTACTCATGAACTTATTGACTTGGCCTGAAAAGTCTTTTAAGACTTCAGTTATTTCACTCACTCGGTGAAAAGGGACGAAAGAACTGCTTAACACCGGTTTTCCGTGAGGCCGTGGTATCGCTCTGGTCGAGCCGGTCCCGTTTGCGCCGAAGCACGGCTCTTACAATATAAAAAACTAACCAGTTTTCCTTCTCTTTACAGTGCTGTTGTCCTGCGTTGTTAGGTCTCTTAGTCGGCTCTTACGACACCCACGGGATGAATAGGGGTGGTGACATTCCGTATTCTTAATCCGTCACCATAAGTACATTTTACCTCCATACAAGTTCCCTTACATAAAATATGAGAATACCTTTCAAAAACAGCTCCTATAGCAAGTCCATCGGGCAGCGTGGTGGGCAGATCTTTGAGGGAATGCACCACAAAGTCTACTGAGTTATTCCTTAGCGCGTCTTCCAAATCTTTGGTGAATAAAGACTTTTCTCCTATTTTGGGTAGCGATACGTTGAGCACGCGGTCCCCCAGGGTGGTCATACTTACTGAAAATTTTAATCTATGTATAAAAAAACAGAGATACTTATTATAATATTCTTGATATTTTTTCTTTCCGAAATAATAAATGTTTATTGTTCAATATTGGCCATTAAATGGCATGTAGACAGTGTAGTAGATGTTTGCCCAATTTCTACTGGCTGTATAAATAAGTGTTTTTGAACCTAGATATTTTTATGTGGGTTTAGTGTTGATTTTGCTGGCTCAGCTCGACTAGCTCATGCCAACTCTCCTTCGGAATGTATATCGACTTCAAACGGGACAAAGGAAGAAGCTAGAAGCTAAATTGTGGTAATCAAAACGTATAGGCCGAAGGAGCTAGGGTATGGATAGGTCTTAGGGACACCGTAAGTCTCTGATTGGAAATCGCCAGCGACATCGTAAGTCCTGGATAGAAAATCGCCTGGGACTAAAAAAGCTTAAAAAGTATATCCATCTTACTATTAGACAGGACAGCATTCTCGCCAGTTGATATCCCTGTTCACTACGACAGGCTACTACTGTTATCGTTCGCAAAAGTATCCACGAAAAAGGGGCAAAAATTATAAAGACAATAATATACTACAAAAAAAATGAATTTGAAAATTTACCTATTGTGAACGCCTTATCTGGGTATATTTTCTTAAGACTGTCAATGACAAAGTTCGTTTGAATGAGAGCAAGCTGCAACAAAACAAAACAAATAATGTTTTCTTTTAAGACAAAGTTGACAAACAAGCTTGCAACCTGACTGTTTTTTTTTCTATATAGGGTGCAAACGAGCAGACGGGTCACCTGATGGAAAGCATCTACCGCCGCCCATGAACGCCTTCAACTCAGGAGTCACAATCGCGTTGCAAGCCTTTGAGGAATTAGTACGTTCTTTTCTTGAAGGTCTGAAGGTTGTATCGGTCCGGAAATACCGATAATATATAATAATGTATACCAATGGAGGCTTGTATCCTACTTTAATATAATATTTTTTGGGACATATAACACACCACGCCATCTAGTTTCAAACTAAGCAATTCTTGTACTAGGAAAGCTAGATTGACTTTTTTTGTCAATATATACATATTATATATAGAAAACACCTATCATGAACAACATTTTATTCATTGTTGTCTTAATGTACACTCCTCTTAAAAATATATATTTTCCTTAGTAATACACCTGTATAAATAATATTGATGAGATCATCGTTTTAGTGAAACATAAGCAATTACCTAGCTACATTATTAAAGTTTTTTAATGGTCTCTTCTCCTATTGAGCAAGCAAAAGGACTATTTTAATTATTAATTAATTTCAAAATTAAGAGGTATATGTTGAAGTAATGTGGTGGTGGACTATTACTTAAGTATAGTTATATATTTTACTATATTATACTTAAATAATAGACCACTAAAACATAAACTATATGCAATGTAAGAGAATTGAGAATTAATCTAACATGGAGAGTACCATTATCGGAAAGAAAAATAAATGGCCAATCTTTATTGATCTTCTTGATAAACAGATTGCATAGCTTCTATCACTAGCTGTTTAGTTTATCACCCACAGACTACTATATCTAGGGTTTAGAACATACAATGAGATATAACACAATTTGACACAATATAAATAAACAGCAAAACTAAAAAAAATTGAGATTTTGATGAACCTATAGTCGATTGGGTAACGCAAAATTTAGATATGAAATAACTTATACGTTTGGTATCAGGAAACCTCACAAAGTAGAGTGATTTGCATGATCTGCAATTTCTATTTGACTGTTACTATGATATAATTTATCATTTGGCTGATAAAAAAACAAAAACATTTTTATTATTTACGAAACATTGACCTTGAATATTTTTTGCTAATGTGGTAAGGTAAGGACTTTTTCATTTATAATGGCGTTCAAAATGTTCCAATTTAATGTCAATTAAATTAATATCATCATCATCAATGGCTATTAAGAGAAGCAGCCTTAGAAGGGAGGTTTTGGCCAACTATACACACTACAATTCAATGGTTTACTTAAGTACTTTTGAATTGCTTTATCGTAAGTTTGTTATTACCCATAAAAATAATATGAAATCTTGAAGGACTAATTTAAATAGATTAAAAGAATAAGAAGTGCTATATAATATAAACTGTAGGATACCAACTAAACATAAATAAATGAAAAACTTTAGTGTCCTTTGCTTAGTCAGTAGTTAAGAAAAATGAAATTTAAAGTGTGAGAATATTAATCAAACTAATGTCTAATAGTCACAATTAAATTATTATTTTAATTATATAAATTAACAATTAAATAACATGCACGAAAATAATATTTAATAAGATATTTATCAGATTTTCATGATAACAGATTTTATTTCTAACTGATTAGACTTGTACAAAAACTATTTATGTAGATAAGAAGTGCATGATTATAAATAGATGGGTCACGCTAAGTACTAATAACTTAAGTTTCAATTATATCACAGTGAGTATGAGATATTATTATAATTCATAGAGTTCAACGAAAAATAAATGATATACATATGCGAGTCATGTGTCATATCAAAGTATATTTGAACGTAACTTCAACATTTTAAAAACAATATACATAAAACATGCAATTTTGCAGCTGAATATTAATTAATCAAACAATGGCTACTCACTTCACTTTTCCGTGAACCAACACGAATAACTTTTTTTGATTCACTTTCCATAATTGATTTAAAACAAAATAAAATTTACATAAGCAAGGACTTAAATTGAGAGGCTTTGAGGTTATGTCATGAATATAAAATGTTTTAAATTAAAACAGATCAGTAGACTATTGCCTTCATAACCCGTCACTATCACTGTAGTGGAAAGGGTTTAATTTAGGCAATTAATGATGTGGTACGACTGATAAATGCATGACCTATGCATCAGCGAAAACGCTTAAAACGTCACTGTCATAATGTAATATGTATACTATTGCTTGTTACGAAAATGACAGGAAACCAGTGTTACCACCGCACCATTTTGAGAAGTGCTTTAGATGCACAAAAAGATTTCTTGCGATTTGTGAATTGTATAGTTTTATATTGATAAGTTTATTCAGAAATAGCAACGACGACTGTAGATAGGAAAGTAAGTGAGAATATGGAGTATCACCACATCTATTCATCCCGTGGGTATCGTAAGAGCCGACTAAGGGAGCAAACTACGCATAATAACAGTACTGCAAAGAAAATAAAAACTTTAAGCAAAACCTACACCAACCCTAAAAATTAGGCCCACCAATGAGTCCTACTCTGTTAACAATATTCAAAAACGAATAAATCATCATGAAAGATATTGGATAATGATCAAAGAAATAATCTAAACCTTTACAAGTCGAATATTTCTAAAACTAAAACTCTATAACTCGTATTATTTGGCGTCTCCCTTGAAGTTCGGCTTACAAAGGTTCTACTAGGAATATTTATTATTTTACATCATTTTTAATTGTATCTAAATATAATTTACATAATAAAGATAAGGTGGTTTTATTAAAATTATTTTACAAGTATTACAATTTTATAATTAATCATTAAAACTTACAATAATACTGAAATTATAATACATGAAAATAAATTCGATTTTTATTACACCGTGTGTAGATTAATTAATAAATCTGAAGATATTGCGTTAGTACATCGTGTCGTCTATTGCCGAGCGCATCACGCGCCCCGCGTCCCGCAAACCACCGGGAGGGCCGAGCTTACGGCAGTTTGACTAAAAGGGGGTAAAATAAGGAATGAACGGTTTGTTGGAAATACATTTTAAAGGTTCGAAACACGAAAAATGAAATAATCACGCTTGCAAAGATTCTGACAATAGCTAGTATTCAATAATAAATGAATAAAAATAAAAAATCATCCAATCTTAGATGATGACAAGGCCTTTGTCTAAAGTTTTAATGCTAGTAGGATACTTTCCTCAGATCTGACAATAGCATTCTTTAGACAGCGCTGTTATCCTTTATCGTTAGCGACAAGACTCATTTATATCGTTACATCTACTGGGCGCACAGCGGCCTAAATGCTACTGATTGAAAGTACTGAATGTCCAATAGAAAAAAACTATGTGACAAAAAGGAAAAGTAAATATGCTGCTGTTCTTGTATTTCCTCTATTATATATCTGTAAATACATACAAAAACATTGTTACTCATGAGAAAACATGACTTAGTAAAAATGATGAATACTATTCAACGGATTAAGAAAGTAAACCAGTTCTACAAAAAGCTGTGAACGTCAAGATCACGGGACCATACCAGGTTTTTCAGGTTTAAGAAACATTCACAATATTCAGTATCTTAATACAGTATCAATTCTGAAGTTCAGGTTTCTGATTGGCTAGGTATTAAAAAAAATCAGTTCGTGTTCAAAGATTACAGAAGCTTTCTAAGGCCTAACCTATTTCATAGGTAAGCAGGCTATTTCAAAATAAACCTATTTTGGTTCTTTACTCTGGGAGAGCCATGTTTCGGCGCGAATGGACCGGCTCGACCGGAGTGATACCACGGCCTCACAGAAAACCGGTGTTAAGCAATTCTTTCGTTGCCTTTCAGAGTGAGTGAGGTTACCGGAGTCCAAATCCCCCCTCCCGCTGACTCGAGCGGGAGGGACTCAAGGGCAGAAATGAACTTGTGACTTGACTTGACTGACTGAACAGGTGTCCACGGGCGGCGGTAGTTGTTTACCATCAGGTGACCCGTCTGCTCGTTTGCCCCCTTATACCATAAAAAAATAAAACAATTATATTAGAGAAAATTATTTATTGATCTAAGAGGAATAACACAAGACAACGTGAAGCCAAAATTGTTGGAAAGAGGCTAGACTACTTGCGTAAATATTAAGGAAAACAATTTTAACTTACTAAATGCAAAATGTAGCCCACATTTTCATGTTGATTTTAATAACACTTCTTAAGGGGCTTTCTTAGTTTACATATATTTAATTATTTTGCAACCATTATAATGAGTCAGACAGTTTTAATGTAAGTTCTTTACAAATCCTTCTTAACTATGTTACTGAAGCAATTATTTTAACGATTTATAGAGACAACCCTATTGAACAATAAACAATTAAGACTTATTATAATGGTAGTTTTATCAAGTTACTTCTTATGTCACACAAATTATAAATCACAGTTTTGTAAATCATCCATTGCAATATAATTTTGTAAAGAAAATTATAAAAAACAAAATGGTGGGATTGCACCGACAATCTTATTTTATAAATATAAACAAAATGGTACTATTTATTAACAAATAATACCTGTGGATGTTTTGATCAAATAAAAAAAATAATGAAGGCGGTTCCTACATTAAACTTATCCTATTTTTAAAAAAGCAACACTCATACACTTTTGTAGATAGTAGTGATTCCGCACGCACTTTGCTTAACTGCATGCATTTTAAATGAATTTAAACAACCTTATTTCTGCTTACCATAAATTAGAAAGAGTGCCCCATCCTGAGCCAAATTTGACAGTTTAATATGCTTAGACCTATATTTAAATGGAAAAGATACGACTTTTTTTTGTTACATTTCGTCATTTTTTTTTCTCAAAAAATCCTTTCCGTTTGCATCCTACTTAAAGCAAAGGTATTTCTTTCCTCACCACAATGGGTTGAACACTTATAATTAGAACAGTAGATCCTTAAAAGAGCCTGCATATCTCCCACTCTTCTTCCGCCAACTTATAGCAAATGTCGAGTATGAGATATGCATCTCCACTACTGTAAGTTTATCTAAGGAGGCACTATGAAACGTAAGGGTGAGTAAAATTTTATTATTAAATGTCAAACTGTTTAACTCGGTCGTAGATGTTGTACCCGTATCTTGATATTTTTATGATATTAAATTTTCTAAAGGAACAACTTCCTCATTTATGGTTACATGTGCTCTTTGCTTTGCATTTCAAAATTCGAACAAAAAGAATTATGCTTATTTAACGCTTATTTCTACATTTCATTTTGAGTCGAGAATGATAAATAAACATTTGTTAATTATACATTTTTTCGCACTCGAAATGCAAACTAATGCCTGCTTTGTCACTAACTAAAAGATCCACGATCACGGGTATCTGTGACGAGAATCAAGAATCTTATGTTAATTATTGTTTTTTGCGTTTACTGCTCCTTAACCTCCTTCTGTTGTTTATAACTGGAGTGCTACGAGTTCTTGATGGTGTTTCTGCAAAATAAAATAACATTAAATCCAGAGACGCTGATAGCTTAGAACACGAGATGTAATTTCAAAATATTATAATGTAGGTAGTTATGTTTTTAAGGATAGATTGATATGTAACTACGATATTAAAAATGCTTGTGCTATTTAAGGCTATATTAGAAAAGAAAACCCCTTTGTTATCACCATGTATCGATAGAAAAAAATTAATAAAGGTAAACTTACTTTTTGGTATCTTGAACCTAGGTGTTGACATCACACTTTCTACGGGCAATTCTTTGTCTTCTTCTATTTCTTGCTTTTTATTTGCAACTCTCTTATTACTTTTAGATTTAGTTTTACTATTACTCTTAGGAATAACTTCTTCGACTTCTACTGATTTACAGCTTTCCGCACTACCTCTTTGTCTTGTAACTCTTGAACTGGGTATTGGAGTAGGCTTGGCTTTAGTAGACCTTTTACCTCTTGGTTTAGCCTGGACAGTTTCTTTTTTAGCAGTTGCCTGCTGTTTCAAAGCTTCTAGCCTCTCCTTTGCTTCCCTTTTCTCTTTGATTTTATGCACTTTAATCATAGCAGGTGTGTACCCCTCTAATCCTTCTACTGGTTCTTCTGGTTCTTTAGGCTTGCCTGAAACCTTTCGTTTAAACGACGCTAACACTTCCTTCATTGCATAAGTCAAATTTACATCTTGAAGATAATCCTTCTGCATCAATGGTGACTGCAAATGAGAATCACTGCTTTCAGAAGCATCCGATAATTTTCTGATCCTATACTTGCAGGTTTCATCGTCGTCATACTCTGTGGTTCCCGTTGCTGCGTTGCGTTCTTTTCGAATTATATCCTCTGGGTTGCCAGCTAAAATTTCAGCCCACGTAAACTGCCTTGCCGATCCCATAAAGTTACCGAACTTACCAATACTGTTTCTGTGAGTTTTCACACCCCGACGCTTTTTAATTGGTTTCTTTTTAGAACGCAAGTTTTTAGGAGATAGCTTCTTGCCGAAAATATCGTGCGGCATAAGCGACTTTTTTAGACGGGCTACTAAATCAGCGTCAGATATAAAGAAGTTTCTAGAAGCGCATGGTTTTCTGATGCCGTCACTAGAAGTGTTTAGCGTCTGTTTCAAAAGTTCTAACTTTAAATCGTTTTCAAAAGAACAAACATTTTCTCTTTCGAACGCTTTCTTGATTCCATTTCTCGCGAGGAAATTAGGGGGTGTATTTTTTCTTCCGAATCTCTTTGAATAGCATAGTTTGTTACGACTCATTGGAGAGAGAGATGGTTCAATGAAGTTCAAAGACATTTCTTTATCACTAGTACAACCGTTTTTCAATAATTCACTTCTAAACAAACTTCTACAGTAATCATAATCAGGTTTTTCCTTAAAGTCCAGGCTTGTGATGTATTCTAGATATTTTTCCATAAACTGAGGGTAGAATTCAGTCTTAAAACACGTTTTGAGAAGCGTTTTTTTATCATTCATAAAGTTTTTCTTCAAAGCATGAACTAAATCAGGTTCAGACAACACTTCAGTTGTCTTCCAAGGCAAGGTTCCTGTTAACCAATCAAGTAAATTGTAACCCAGGGTTTCGAGGTCTGATCTTCTCGAATGAGCTCCTATATGGGAATCCCTTGAACTATATTCTAGTGTTCCATCATGTGCCTTTCTAGCATCCATGGTAAAGTCTTTATGCCGTCCTTCAGAATCTAAGAACTTTGATGCCAATCCATAGTCTAACAAATATATTTGTCCATTTGACTGTGAAAGGACTGCTTCTTGATAAATCTCATTTAGATGATCTGCATCGCCTTTGTCTCTAGAATTTCGTTTCCTTGATTCCTCCTGAAATTCTTTTGTAGTACGAATAAGGCTTTTATCACCAAAATCATCCAACAGTTTCTGATATGACTGATCTGAGCAAACAGAGCTGTTTAAATCTGAATAGTTAACACAATTAGACAACTGTCTTAGGTTAAATGCGTGATGTCTATGCAAGGTTCTACTGTCTCTATCTGACAGAATTTTCCTTAACTTCTTTTTGACACTAGCAAGCCTTTTATCGTTATCCGTATTATCTTCTGAATTGGTAGGACTTTTGTAGTCTTTGATAATGAAGTCTTCGTCATCATAGTAGTTAGAAGTTCTTGATTTAGTTGCTTTAGCTCTTCTGTGTTTACCTGACAATACGGCAACTTCTTTCGTATCTTTCTGGAACGAGGGTATAAGTCTCACAACAGGGACTTTGCCAATTCTTGAGCCGTCAAAACCAAGCATCAGATTGGAACTTTTGATGTCGGAATGAGTGTATCCTTGATTGTGTAAGTACTCTAAAACATCTAGTATTTGTATTGCAAGTACTAGGACATTTTTAAGATCTAAGACTTTGGTCCTAGAGATAATTTTCTGGAGGTCTATGTCATAGCGTGGTAGTACAAGAAACCTGTACTTTGTATTTGTGTTTTCGTCTGTGAATGATCCACTTGCAATATAGACAGGCATTCCAAAGCGTTTTTGTTTTTTTTGTTGCCGCCATTCCCTAACTGCAAACAAAAGCAAAAAGTAAGTGTATTTTGTGTATGAAAATGTTATAAAAAGTTATGATTAAGAACTAAATATTAATTCTTTACATTAATTAACTTATCACATATAGGCACTAAAAATATAGTAATATGGCTAGCATAAGCCTCTGAGGACTTTGGTGGCAATTATATTTATATTAAATACTTGTAATGTGTTAAACAAGTGGTGTTGCTTCAGCTATTAAGAACACCATTGGAGCATGAGTGCAACATTTACCGTAATTTGTTGAAACCATAAATATTAAAAACAGATCAGTCTTTCTTTAATTTATATATTGTACATGCATATATTTGTTACTGTTGGATGAACTAATTTTTTGATTTCTTAATTTACTATGTCAACAATAAGTAAATTTTTTCTACCCTTTTTTTTTTTTTTTCCGTGCGGAAATCCCCTCGGATACCACCTGTCATTGGCATGTCGGACTCGAACCGACTAAAACCGCACGCCGTCTCGGGTACTAATAGCCGGGGAACCAGGTATACCCTAGAAAGGAAGTCCCTGGTGAAATTTTGACTACCCTAACTTTAAATTGTCAGTTCCATCACTGCCTTATTGATATTGATGTAACTTTAATCTCTCATTACAATATGAATAAAAATATCTTAATTAGCCCTAAGTAGACTTTTTTTTGCGTCTACCACTTACAAATAATTCATGCCCTTAAATCGAATGTAATCGCTAACCTAAGTATAGTTGCCGAACTCAACACCACAAAAAAAAAAAAATTATATACACCGGATAATACAAAGTATTTTGAACTTTTGTGTACTTGGAATTAAGTTCAAGGTTGTGTATAACAAATGCGGTCGGCGATAAGCTTACTGTTTGAAAAATTTCTATATTTTCAACAGCTATAAGAGAGTTGCACACAGCATTCACTACTTGTTTTTTTAAAGTAATATGTCGATGCTCCACATTATTACATTAGCTTGGGTATACCATTTAATCCATCTTTCATCGGTAATCCATCTTATAATTAAATCAAAATTTATCATATTAACAATCTTATTTTCACGGTAACTGGTCAGTTAATGAATCTTTCCTGATTTAATTGGGACTGATTGCTCCCACACGCCTACTACTATAAATCCTGTACACCAGAAGGTCAATTCTCGTAATAAATGTTCGGTCACAATTCAGTTCCGATCAACTCTCGATCTCGCGCTGTCATGGAAGGTATTTCTGGGTTAAGTATTAAACATCCAATGTTGACTGTAGTGTGATTTAATCGTATTGTAACTGAAAACTCACCGAGTTTCAACACTCGATTGCTCTCAGGCAAACTTAACAGTCTTGGAACGAAATAAATCGGAGGAATTAGAAAACAGGGAAGCACTACAGGCACAAAAACAATATAGGTCCTATGTGGGCTATATTTAAGTGCTATAAAATGTTCCCTGTCCTAGCAATTTCTATAATCACAGGACAGATGAGTGAATGTGACTATGGCGTTTTCGAGCTACAACAGTCTTAATCCCATTTCCCATAACACGAGACTTCCTGTATGTACCCTTGGTCCCTCGCACTATCCTTTTTCTTACCTCAAATTTACGTTTCCCGTATTCTTCTCTGATAACTATTACATTCACAAGGAGGTTTGCCTGACGTGGCAGCCGCCTAAAAAAGAAGTCAGCCACAACCTATTGAGTAGACCTCAAAATAAATTGGGTCTGAGCAAGAAAATTATGATGATTTTCACGGTTTGACTTTATAAGCTACTGAAACACGTCAGTATTATTAAAAACATGATAAAAATTATTTTTTATGAATTATCAGTCATTAATCTCTCCCCTTTTTTGTCTATCAACATTGTTATCAGTTGATTCTCTTAACCAGTGACCTAATTAATATACCAGCATACAAGTTAAAACAGCAGTGTAAGAAAAATTTGTTGATTTAAGTTCAGTTTACAGTTAGTTCGTAAATAAGCTCACTTTAAAACAATTATTAAGTATAGCTTGTAGCTTGGGTTCTCAAAATTTCAGTGTTTCTGTTTTTTTTTAATTACTCACATATTTACATAGAAATATTTTCAGTTTCATTTGTTGATACCATATACATATGAATATATAAATGAATACAAAGATATCCTATCATGGCAAGTTCTTTAATATTGATTTTCTCATTTATTGATAAAATTACACCTATTTATTATTTATTTTAAATGAAAAGGGCTATTGTTATACCTTGTGATGATTGTGCAGTTCTAATGAGACAGTGTATCTCCACAAACAGTGGCCCATTCGTATGTGGTTCTATCTTAACAACATATCTAGCATTTAACTTTGTGACTTCTTTGTCCACGTCGTCTGAGGCCAAGTAAATTCTGCCAAAACTGCCTCTGCCTGAAATAAATGTTTACATTTTTAATTAAAAATTAATGTATTTAAAATCTTAAATATATAAATATAGTTTACATGAAAATAATTCAACATCCTGCTAAAGGGACTGAAAGCGATCCTCTTTAAATGTACGATGAATATATTTTAATACTATATCTAAAAACACAAAAATCATGCAAATATGTCCATCCGTTCTTGAGTTATATAGGTATTTATTTTATTTTATTTTTATTTTATCTAATAGGTACAGTAACAGATAACAGATTAGCACATACACAATTATGTTGACAATATACAATACTTAAATCTGAAGTCCAGTTATAACTATACACAACGTTCTATTACAAAGTTTATATGAGTATGTTAACAGACTAAAGAATTCACATAATAAACTTAAGCTCCATTATTATTACAAAATAATTGGTTTAAGGTTCGATTAAATAACAACACAAAGATCCTAAATAAAAAAAAAAAAAGGAAGAAAGCTTAAGAAATTATACAGACATTATTGTGGGGCACATAGCTTCAGTAATAGACTTATGAACAGATTATAACTATTGTGAGAAATGTCCACCTCAGAGCAAATTGCGTTATATTGACTGCACATTCGGGATATTGGATTGTTCTGTGATACATTATTGTTGCTAGTAGGTACACAGAACAGCTGTGGTATACGTACGGATCGTGTTGGTATCTTAAAGTATAGCAAGCCAACAAGCTCACTATCAAGTGAGCCATTTACTATTTTATGTAGGGTGCACATGTCAGTTAGCCACCTTCTCCTCTCTAGACTTATCATTTTAAACCTACGAAGTCGGCTGTCGTAATCCGGTATTTTTCGCCTCAAGCCAAATTTAGAGGACAACGCCCTTACAAAACGCCTCTGGACTGCCTCTATTCGATCTATGTGGGTCTGATAGATGGGAGCCCATACTGATGAGCAGTACTCAACTATGCTTCTTACTAAACAGTAGTATAGAGTTATTAAGGAACTAGCTTGTGTAAAAGGTCTAGCATTTCGAAGTACAAACGACAACATACGATTAGCCTTACTGCAAATGTAGTCGTAATGAGGCTTGAACGACATTGAAGAGTCAAAGATCACCCCCAAGTCGCGCACTTCCTTAACTCTTTCTATGGTGACTCCTTTGATCTGGTAACAGTAATCAAGTGACTTTTTATTTTTGGTAAAGGTAATAACTTGACACATTTTGATGTTCAACGACATAGAGTTCTCCGAACACCAGTCAACAATTGTGTTCAAGTCTGATTGGAGACTTTCGCAATCACGATGATCAGAAATGCGTCTAAATATTTTAATGTCATCTGCGTAAGCTAAACATTTACTACCAATTTTAAAGAGCAAATCATTGATAAAAATCAGGAACAGAAGAGGACCAAGATTTGACCCCTGTGGCACACCGGAAGTCGCCAAAAAAGGAACAGATTCGTACCCACCAAGTGCAACCAACTGGGTTCGATTTAATAGGTAGGATGTAAGCCATCTGAACAGGCTTCCGTGTACTCCAGCATGCTGTGCTTTTGCAAGTAACCTTAAATAATCAACGCGATCAAAAGCTTTGGAAAAATCTGTGTATATTGAATCCACCTGCTTTTTTAGATTAAACGATTCACACAAATAAGACGTATAGTATATGAGATTCGAACTAGTTGACCTACCAGTCATGAAACCATGTTGTAATGGACTTAATAGATGAATAAGATGGTTGTACATATAATCATAAATGTAGCCCTCAAAAATCTTTGCAAACCAGTTTAGTATGCTGATAGGCCGGTAATTCGAAACATCGTTTTTATCACCGGATTTGTAAATTGGAGTGATTTTGGCGATCTTCCAAAGCGCAGGAAATGTGCCTTCGCGCATCGATTTATCGTAAATCACCAAGAGAGGTGTTACTAGTGCTGATGCACAGAGTCGAATAAACACTGGGGGTATACCGTCAAAACCACTGCCTTTAGTTAAGTCGACATTCTGCAATCTTTTTAGCAAATCGACTTTAGATATAAATAGACTATTAATGCAGTAGTTGGATGCTGGAAAGTCAAGGTTACAGTTGCCAGTTGAACTGGTGGAATAAACTGAGGAGAAATAATCTGCAAATAGGTCCACGATACCATCACCCGTGGTCGCCTTTTTATCTTTATAGAACATACTGCTAGGATAATTATTCGTGACACGTTTACTCTTTGTGTAGCGCCAAAAGGCCTTAATATTAAGTTTGAGATCATCCTCTACTTGTTGTATATATGTTCTAAAGCATTGAATAGCGACCTCTTTTGCTCTGGCCCTAAGCATAGTGAACACATCGTAGTCTCTGGGATTACCAAAACGTTTAAATGTAGAGTGGGCTTTGCGTTTACTTACAAGTAGATTAATTAAATTTTTAGAGAACCAAGCAGGATACTTATTGTTTGATAGTTTCGACTTTGGTGTATACTTTTCGATTATCGAATAAATGCTATCGTAGAAATAGTCTACAAAATCATCACAACCCAATACTAACGCTTGCTTGTATATATGAGTTATATATATATAGTAACTAACACGACTTTGTTTTTATATAAATATATATATATATATCTATTTATATAGACTAGCTGACCCTGCAAACGTTGTTTTGCCATATACATTATTTCAAAATTTTTGTCAAAAAAAAAATTGGGGTATGAAAAATAGATGTTGGTCCATTCTTAGACCTACCCGATATGCACACAAAATTTTACGAAAATATGTCGAGCCGTTTCGGAGGAGTTCAACTTCTAACACCGTGACACGAGAATTTTATGTATTAGATAAGGCAAGCGAACTGACAGTTCACCTCATGTCAATGCCTGGAACCCTGGAGTCAAAAGAACATTGCTAGATTTAGAGGTGGGAGTACGGTCTTCTTTTATATTTCTAACCATATCTATAACCAGTATTTTCTTCATACATATATCTGGTAACCATATCCAGTTCAGGACATTCATATCTATTACATTCCTAGCAATAATAACTGAGTTAGCTATAAAATAGATACAGAGATATATAGACTACATATCCTTAAACAGTTAAAGTTTAATTTTGTATAATGAATTAAAATTTTCATAAATATGTAAATGACATAAAACCACATTTTTGTAATAGTATTACACATACAATGTCACTATTTTTATACAGTTTACATATTTCAAACCTCATTTAAAAGTCAAATCATAGGATGAACTAATTCATTGACCTCTATTTTAAAGATGTTATATATTTACCTACTACATTATGGAATTAAGTTCCTTATCGAGCGTTACAAATGTGAAACAAGACTTTCTTCCGACACTATAACAAACGTCTACCAAAAAGCGAAAGGAACTTCGGTCCGGCCGTCCATAGAGTGTGCGTTACCCCAGCAAAATAATGTCGAAAATGGTCATTTAAACGTTATAGATAATTAGTTGCTCCCCTTCTATAATTGTTAAGCACATTTTTAAATTTGTTTCACTTAAACTTTTTTAGTTATTTCAAAAAAACATTTCCTGCTGGGGTAACGTTTGAAACGTTACCGCAGCCAGACATTTTCTTTTTTAATTGTAATATTGAAATAAATTTTAGCTAAATAATTAGTTATCTGGACTAGGTAAATGTTACAACTTATTTGGTATTTGTATTTTCTTCGGTTGCGAAGTTATTCGAAATCCTGCTGGAGTAACGTTTGTGGGTTTGCTGGATCTCTGAAACGGGTAAGCGGATTGTAACCATTTTTTGTACATAACTTCTTAAGGATTAGTTTTAATTTGTTCGACAATAAAATAACAAAAATAATGGACCGTTTAAAAATTATTTAGGTAAGTATGAAAACACTTAAATACGTCCTAACACTTTAAATAAAACCTCTTAAGACTTATTTGAAACGTTATTCTATTGCTTGTAACTACCTTCAAATGTATACGAATTTTCGTAGGTATACTGTAAGTGACTAAAAAGTTATGATGAAATGTAGCTCTCCACGTTCACGATCAAAATGTGTGCGGCCTTTTTTGGCCACCGATAAACCTGTGTGTGGATATATAAACTGAATGTTATGCCAATAATTAGTTGTTTAGTTCAGTTGTCTACCTGGAGAATTTCAGCGTCGTACATATAATAATTTACGAGATAATTAAATAAAAGTCATTAGAAGGTGCAAGACCGTGGTAATCCGACCATGTTTAGGTGGTTACAAAAAAGCGATCACCCAGTACATTGCGCTGTCTTTTAAAATGTTTAGTGTAATACACCTTACGATTTCGGTACAGTTGCGTACAGTGTTAAATACATTCAATATTTATTCATTATTATTACCTATTATTTATTTTGTTTTTTTCCCTAATTGATCTTAAGCACTAGTTTCTTTACTTAAAATTTATTTAGTCTTTTTTACTACCGGAGCTACAATCAACAGAAAATCTGCACTGGTCCGCTAAAATTATAAATATGTAGATACATGTATGAACGATTCACCTGACTGCAATAAAACGAAAATTTAAACCAATAAGAAATCGTTTCATTTCTTTGATTTTTTTTTGTAAAGAAATAACACTAAAGTAATTGTATTTTATTTTGGGGTGTATAGAGCTTAGACTTGAATGCATCAAAATATTTAAAGCAACAAGTTATCTACAATAAGTTAAAATAGACCGAATAGTAGAAGAATAAATTAGAAGAAGTTGTAAATTAGAATGCATCAACATTGCATCGCCCAACAGACGTGTAACTCGTAAGAGTAGGTAATATTGTTCTGTGGTCTATACCTAGAACCGAGAATTATCTATACCTATGTACCTAACGTTAAGCGTTGAGCCCGTTACTGTTGATTTCTGTTAAAAACGAACAGTTGTTGAATGATATTTTGATATAATAACGGTAATTTAATTTATCGAGTGAAAGTGATACATTTTTATAGATAAAATTATTGGTCAGATAATATTTGTCAATCAAGAATCGCTGATAATACATCCTTCGCTAGAAC